TTTATTATGGATAGAATTTATTCTTGTAAATATCATAAGTAATTATTTATTAGTTTTGGTTCCAAAACCCACTATAAAAAAGGGATTGTAGAAAGCATTTCCTACAAAAGTTTAAACAATTTTTTCAGCTTTTTCTCACCTTAATTTAAGTGTTTTCTCCTTTGATTTTAGCTCAATTTAAGCTTTACTTTTCGTTTCAATCTAAATATTGGGTTTGTTCTTTGTATAGAGATACTTAGTCCTTTCTTTGTTATATTTATGGATCTTATTTAGAAATGCATTTAAATAAGGTAATGGTGTTTGAATCTTGAAAGGTTTATTGTAAACATCTTGTCTACACCAAATAAGAAGAATTAAAACATTAAGAACAAATAATTAATTCTTAATAATAACTACATTCATTTTAGTCAAATTCTAAAAGCTCTTGCTACCTTACTTTGTTTCAATTAAAGTCTAAATATTTTGTATGCTTAGAATGCATATTAAAAATTTAATTTGATATTAATTATAAGTATAGATATATACTCAATGTGCATGCTAATTTTTAGTTTTGATTGTAAGTTTGCCTTAATATATAATATTGCATGTATATATTTTTAACATATATTAACACTTGTGTTTCTTGGTCAATTTATTGGTTGGTAGATAAACTAAATAATGCATGCTCACTTGTTTAATTATTATATATTTATTGTGAACAATATTAACTACATTCAATGAAGTATTTTTAAAATTTAGTTTTAACTAGGTAAAAAGTACAATTAATTAAAATATAGATTTTTTAACAAGTCAAATTTAGATAAATATAGAAATAGTTTAACGTATCGATATAAAATCTATTTGTCAAACCATTAAAAAAAAAAGATAATAGATCATTTTTTCAAAGGCTTGAGTAGATTTAAAGTAAAATTTTTAGTCCACTTTTTATTTTTATTTTTCATAGCTAATGGAATAAATGATTGAGAGAAAACAAACTCATTTTTATCACAAGTAACAACAATAAATAAGACAAATATAAGTTATATTTATTTAAATTAGATAGTTCTAGAATATTACTCAAATTGACCGTCACTTGCCTTATTTTCTCATTGTTGCCTTTGTATTCAACGAAGTTGCATTAAAAATTTATTTTTAAAAAATCATTAATGCATATATTTGAAATCAAATTAAAAATAGAGTCCATTCAATTTTAAAATTATGATTTTGTTGAAAAGTATTATCCAAAATAAAATAAAAATACTATAAATAAAGTATTAACTTGTTTGAAACAAATAATGAGTGAATGATAAATTAATTAATATTAATGAATTTTTAATTAAAATATTTTTATAAACTTAAGTGATACGAGCATGCTCACTCGATATAGTATTTTTATTTTGATTTTTCTTCCAAAATAAAATAAAAATACTATAAATAGAGTATTAACTTGTTTGGAATAAATAATGAGTGAATGATAAATTAATTGGTACCAATGAATTTTTTATCAAAATATTTTATAAATTTAAGTTATAGGTGCCTGCTCGCTCGATATAGTATTTTTATTTTGATTTTTTTCTATTATTCTAGAGTTTAAATTCAAGTTTGTATAAAATGGTTTTTGAATCTGTTTGTGAACATAGTTTAGTAGTGTAACTGGTGTTATTAAAATTTTAAAAGACTAATTACAATCAATTTACTTTTTAATATTTATATTGGAGCAAAATTACATCTAGATAAACTAAACTTTAGCATTCAAGGTGAACAAGATGGGCGCGAAATGAACCCAATCAAAGCAACGCCTTTTTACACGTACGTGAAGAAAAAGTCCGCTCGCCACTTGGAAATTGACACGAGCCAAATTTCGTCCATTCTTATCCTCTTATTTCCTAAAAGGCTTCAGTTCAGAGGCTTGCGAATTAGGCATCGGCCATGAGATGAACTTTTAACTGTAGCTTTCAAGTGACGTCAACTTCAGACTAATTGCAACGATTCTGTAATGGTCACGTGACCTTCCTTTTCTAGTTAGGTTCTGCGCTTTATTATATACCAAAATATGCAAAGCGACCTTTGTGTTAATTGCAAGCGTCGGGGTCATTATAATAATTAAAAAAACACCAAACTAAATGAAGACAGTATTTCTTATTATTATTATTATTATTATTGTGGAGTAGACTCAATTGCTTTATGGATTGCCACAATGCAGCTGAGTAAGTTCTTTTCTTTCAATCTTAAAAAATTATATAATTTTTTTAATTTAATTTTTTAATATTATATTAAGATGATTTTAAACCTAGTAAATTGTTGCATTTTACATGTAAAGGGATATTTGCAATGTCAAAAATATCTCAGTAATAAATTGATTGATGCATGTTGCCAAATAATACAAAATATAATTTTATTTTATTAATTAAAAATTAAAACAAAAGGAACTTAATTTAACTCTAAAAAAAATAGAGTTTTTTTTATTGTTCAAGGGACATATAAAACTACAGTTTCATTTCTAAAGATTTTACTTTTTTATTTTAATTTTAGTCCGTATATTTTTAGAGTTTTAATATTTTAATGCGAAACTTCATCCATTTTATGTTTTCATCCTGTATTTGAGAAAGAAAGTCACTAGAAATTTTTTTTTCTTTTATGATCGTAATAATTTCTTATTTATAAAATAATGATTATAATATTTAATAAAAATATTAGGGTTTTTATTTAAAACATATATTTCTTTTTAACTCAAACTATAATAGTTTTCACAATTATTTTTTAATTGGTGTTAATTTTATTCAATGAATTATAACAACGTCAATAAAAAAACCATTTTTTTGTTAAAAAAATTACATAATAAAAAAATAAAACGTCATAAAATTAATATTTTTTTTATTTGTTGTTTTTTCTACAAATATTTTTTCAATATATAATTAAATAAAAATATATTTTTAAACAAAAGTTATGGCAGCATGCATGAAAGCTTGAATCAAAGCTTCCACTGAATTTTTTCTCTCTCCTTTTTTTTTCCCCAAAAAGGAATCAAAGTTGCCTCATAGATGAACTGCTCGATTTGGCTGTGATCGATTGTTCTGGACTTGTTGATTGCAACAGTTCTTCCATCTGTTGTAATCTGTGTACCAAAACCTCCATGGCCAAGAATTCTACTCTCATGGTTCTTGTCGGCGGCTTTCTGGAGTTCTTTAGCTGTAAAGATTTCTGCCCTTTTTGTAACAGATCCTTCCCTTCTTGATAGCTGCTGCTCCAACACTGGACCCCTACGCACTTTGCCTAAAGAACTCCTCTTCGAGCCTCATTAGCTTCCATTTATCGTGTCACTTTAGCTGTAAATAATATTTCTATTTATTTTTTTTAAATTTATTTTTAATGCTAGCATAGCATCAATCAGCGTTGCCAGAGTTGACAAGGAGAATATAAAAGTTAGATTTGTTTAAACCGAAGAAGCCCTAGGATACATTACTTAAATTGTCGGTCCTTGTTTTCTCGTGGTCTCCTTTTGTATCCAGGGAAGTTGGGGCACTGAAGAAAGCTACAAAGGAACCAAATGAAGTGGAGTGCGAGTCAAAGCAACGTCTTGTATTTGTATGCATTCATCAAGAAAAGGTGCTCTCGCCTTTTGAAAATTGACGAGGGCCAAATCCCACCCATCCTTATCCTCTGATTTTTTAAAAGCTAGCATCGAGTATATCTATGATTCTAAATCTTCTTCTTCTTCCTTTTTGAAGTTTGGTTTCTGTTAAAAGGTTTGTGAATTTGGCTTAATTCTGTTAACGGTCTTGTAATATATATATATATATATATATTCGAATTAGCTTAGGTGTATTTCAATTAAATTTTTAAATTTTTAAAATTAATAATTATATAAAATTTTAATAACCTTTAAATTTATAGAGTTTAAATTAATAATTTCCAGAGAATAAAATCATATTACATGGCATTTTTGTGAATTAAAATGGAAGAGTTACTGACAACATGGCTCCGCTTATAGTTAAACATGCTGATACATTTCTTTTTAATTATTTTATAATATACTTGTGTTGAACATGAATATCTTAGTCTAAGGTCATGTATGCTATAGGCAACAAACGACTTATCTATGTTTTCTTTCCTTTAAATAACTGAAGGGGTAGACAAAATATGAGTATAATATGCTGACGATCGAGCAAATGTGCCTCATCGTCTAATGATTCAGGATATTTTTCTTCCAAGTAGGTAGCAGGGTTTCGACTTCCCTTGAAAATAAGATATTATGAAAGGAAGTTGATGAGGATTCTTAAAAAGTCTGATTTTTTTCCTTCTCGGGTTGATGCCTTTTTTTCTTTTCTTTTTTTATTTTTTATTTTTTTTAATTTTATTTTTTAATATAAAGTTTTATTAAATTTTATTATTTAATATTATATTAACAATAATTAATTTTTATATTTTTTATCATATAATAAAAATAAATATAAAATTTAATTGGAGTTTATAACTCATAAATTTAACATGTTATCTAAAGTTATTATAATATATTTTTTTAACTTATTCATTCATAAGATGATATATCATAATAATTTTTATATAACTTAATTTAAAATTTATATCAAATAAAGAATAAATTAAGAATTTTTAAATTTAAATTATTATTTTTAAATTTAATAATTGTACTAAAAAGCTTTTCACGATTGAAATATTATCATTTTCACCTTCAAAACAATTTCGGTCCAAGCGCAAAAAATAACCTGCTATCTACGAAGACAAGTCATAAATGCTGCTTCAAGAATTTAGGGGTCAAATTCAAGTGGTCGGTTCAGGAGACTTGATCGAACCAATCTGAGATCCCAAAGTGAGGGCCTTGAGTAATGGGCCGGACCAAAAAAAGACTCTATCTTATGATGGGCCAAAGATATTATCATCGGCCGAACAAACAAGCCGATATCATACTGACCAATCTTAACCCAAGAGGGTGGATTGGGTAGACAAGTTGGGCCCAACGCAGATGCGCTTCCCTTCCTCCTTTTGATTGCAATTATTATTTTTAGGGCAAATGTGAAGAACCCTCGAGAAATCAGATTAAACCCCAGTCTGGCTCAGAAAGAAATCAAGAGTGGGAAATCATGGCATTGCTGGAGAGAAAAGACATGGCTGATGTGAATAACAATATCAATAATAATAGTAGCACAGGTACTGAAGTCCCCTCGAACATGACTATTTACATCAATAATCTCAACGAAAAAATCAAAATCGATGGTAATGCCCGAATTCCCTTCTCTCTCTGTCTCTCTGTTTTTTTTTTTTTAATTAAATTTCAAATCTCGTTCTCTCTCTCTCTCTCTCTTATATATATATATATATATATATAGTTTCTATGATGTGGTAATGTCTGATTTGAAAACCAAAAAAAAGAGTTGAAGAAAGCTCTGCACGCTGTGTTCTCGCAATTCGGGAAGATACTGGAGATATTGGCATTCAAGACATTGAAACACAAAGGGCAAGCTTGGGTTGTTTTTGAGGATGTTCAGTCTGCCTCTAATGCCATGAGGCAAATGCAGTCTTTCCCCTTTTATGATAAGCCCATGGTATGCTTGTATTATTAGTTTATCCCCCCCCCCCTCCTACAACACACAGTTTCTTTTCGGTGTATTAGTGAATGATAGAAAGAAGCTCAATGATAAATGCTAAGCATTTTCTTATATCGTGCTTTTGTTTCTGTGTTTGCACAAGGGGGAGTAGTAGCACTTTTGTGTTTTTTTTTTCACAAAAAAATATTTATTGTCTATAATTATTAATTTACTGTTTGACTTGGCAATTTCATAGCCTTCACATATAGATTATAGAAAGAGTGACTTGTTCATCTAATTATATATATGTATAGCACAAAACAAGTTGTTCCTAAGAACCTCTACAACCAATCCTTCACATATCAGCTTCCTACACTACACATTCTACGTTGATGATGACTCTGTCTCCACTCTAGAAAGCTTAAGTCCATATCTCATTGGATTATGACGTGTCCTGCTAGATCTACAGAGTTTTTTATGTTTATTAAGCTTTAGGCTGAATATCCAATATTATAGCCTCTGACTTAGATTCCATTTGGATGTTAGTTTGTGGTTCTTGAACTTTTTCAAGTTCTATTTTCCTCCCACTACTCCTTTAAAGAACAAATTCTTTCTGATTAAGGTAGCAAGGTCTTTTTCACATGACCCATTGATCATTACCAAATTGATTTGCAACAAATCAGTATTTTTTTTTCCAGCACCATAAGTTTACTTAATTACCCTTAAAAAATTAACCTAGCATCTTGGGGTTTATTTGTCTTTTTGTTTTTTAAAGCATGCTTGATAGTAACTGAATTGCGCAGCATGCTATTTTTTTTCCTTTTCCTTTTTAAATAGTAGGAAAGAAACCAATCTGAGATAAATGTATGAATGTGTAGATTGTCTCTGATTTATTTCCCTCTGAGATCTATATTTTTCAAATGGCAGGGAAAAAGAAGAAAGATCAACATGATACTAATCAAGTGGGAGTGGGTATGACTCCTGCATATGGCGGCGCCTACGGGACAACACCTCCTGTAAGCATGTTTTTGGCTTTCTTAGGATTACCACTACTAGGTTCTTTATAATGTGGTTTGTAGGTTAACATCATTTTCCTCTGTATCTAGATTAATTGGATCCATGTTTGTGATTATGCTTCACCTGAAATTCAGCTGTTGTAAGTCAATTTGATATTAGGATTTGACCATTAAGTTGGCTTCTTACAAATTATTTTATTTGTTTGCTATAAAGTAAAGATGCAGGTCAATATATTTAAACTGAACTTGAACTAGGCAAAGAGGATTACATTTTTAGTTGCTCAATCTAGAATCTAACTTCTATTTACTGATGGAAAACATTTATTTGCTTCTACTATGTTGATTAACTTATCCAACTACATCATCCAGTTAGATTCACAGAATGGAAACAATCTGTTGCTAGTTGCCTTGTCTAGTGAGAAGCTACCCCTGGAAATTAGTTTCACGTCCATTAATTAGTGAAAGAGTTCATTTCTGAGATTCACAAGGATGCAGCCTGTTCTCTGAAACTGGCAATATGTTGTCATTTTCCACTGTTCTGAGAAGGATGTCCAGTATCTCTTAGCATGATCCTTACCTTTGCTTCAAAATTTTGCAGCTTTCTCAAATACCCTATCTAGGTGGTGTGAAATCTATGGTCCCTGAGGCTCCAGCTCCCCCAAATAGCATTTTGTTTATTCAAAATCTTCCCAATGAGACTACTACAATGATGCTGCAAATGTTATTCCAGCAGTACGCTGGTTTTAAGGAGGTCAGGATGGTGGAAACAAAGCCAGGGATTGCCTTTGTGGAGTACGGAGATGAGATGCAATCAACAGTCGCTATGCATGCACTTCAGGGTTTCAAGTTACAGCAGAACTCAATGTTAATTACCTATGCCAAGAAATAGACAAATATGAAGTGGTTTTTGGCTACTCAGAGGAGAGAGCTAACACTAGGATCTTAAACTTCTTGTAACTGTTCCCTATATCCTTTTTAATCTTAGTTTGAATATGAGGTTAAGATTTTTAATGTATCATAGTAGTTATGAATTACTCCTGTCATATTTTCTTTTGCTTCTGAAAATCACTGAACAGTAATTTCATGCGAGTGCTGTGCGGCGGATTAAATTAGATAATGCTGTTGCCAGTTGTAATCACATTGTTGCTACACAAACAGATTCGGCATTTTCAGTGGATATTTGAGGCATGACGGTTATAAGAAGCCGAACAATATTTGATTAATTGCACTTTCTCAGCCCCCGAAAAATCTCCACCACATGTTTAGCTTAGCTGTTTCCACCATCACATTCCTAGAGAGAATCAAGCAAGCAAACTGGATGCCTGGCAATTTTAGTTGAGATAGTTTAGAAATGGACCAGGCGACATTAATGAAAAGGTGAGTGTCCAGGCAAACATCGACAGATCTTCGACTGTCTACTAAAGCTTTAGGGTCTGTTTGTTAGGAGAGATGGGTGTGAGGATGGATGAGGTCTAGAGGGTGGGATTGAAAGAATCTGTCTTATCCTTTCCCACTTGCAAAATTCAATCATCCCAATTTGGGCGGATTGGCCGCCTCCATCTTTTCCCTCCCTTGTTAGCCCAACAAACACACCCTTAGTTTTTGTTCAGTCAGCGCTTGTAAGTTGGACCTATCGAGAGGGTGGCCCCCTGAATCTTCCAAAATCCCAAGCATGCGCGGCATGATGAAAAGCGACGCTCTCAACACATAATGGTTAAAAGTTAAAGCAAGCAGCAATGCCAACTTCATAAATAAATTGGAAGGCAACAAACACTACCAGCCATTGCAGCTCCCATCATTCAAAACCTCAAACAACACGGTAGAATCATTCTATTGCCTTTTCCTCTCTCTCTCTCTCTAATTATGATCTATGTCCATCAAACTAGCAAGTCTCGTCTCCAATTATATTGCATTGCAGAAAATTACCCATAAAATAGGCAATGTGAATTAAAAGGAGACAGATGAAAAGTTGTCACTGACATAGTTAAGTCCAGTGAGTTAAACTGATATTCATTTTACCTGCTAGTTTGATTGATTTAGGTTAGATGAAAAAATAATAAATACATAAAAAAATACAAAATTTAATCAAATCAGGAATAACTTATGATCTAGTCGACCGGATAAGATTTAATATATATATATATATATATATATATATATAAAGAAAAGAACTATTATTCTTCCTTAACTTCTTTCTTTAAAGCTTGAAAAACTAAGAAATTTGGTATTTAGGAACGTAATCCTAGTAGATGAAGCCATTGCTCCTAAAATTTTCAAGTTAAGGTAAGAAATATATTTTTTTTTAATTTTAAATATTGTCTATTTCATATCATTTAAATCTTTGGAGTTTGCAAAGGGGTTGGTTTTTTCACCAAACAACTTTTGAATTTGTGAAAATAATAGTAAACACATCCCCAATTATACTAGCAACCAAGAGTGAAAAGATTGCAATTAGCTTGCCTTATCTGCATTCTCTTGTTCGTCACATGCTAACCTCAGCTTTTTTTGGATCATAACATATTTTTCTGATTTGGCTTGTAGATCTTTTAGGATCTCTGTATGTTTTGCAATATTTTTTGATTTTTGGTTAGGGTTGTTTTATATTTTGTGAGATATCAATAAAAGATGCAATCAACTACTATGGAACATAGTCCCATGAAATATTCCTAAGACCTTCACAGTAGAGGTTTTGCTTCAACACGTGGCTGGAATTGTTAAACAAGGCAACACTCCTATAAGGTATATAATTAGTACTTAAAAGTGTATTTTTATCAAGGTTTTATATCAATATTTTGCACTTGAAGTATTAATAACTCCTTAACTAAAGTATGTTTTATAATAATAAGTTTGATACTATAAGATACCTTTAATTTATGATAAATGTTCATCTTAAATGCAAGCCTATCACATAAATCAAAGGAATAATTGATGAGTTCAACTACTAAAATTGAGAAGACAAAGAGAGGATGAAGTTTAGAAAAGAATGCTGGTTTGGTCTAAACTGGAACACTGTTCGGTAATTAGATCATAACTAGAGTTGTAAAACTTGGATTTGGGTACACTTTATATGAATGGAAAGCTAAGACATGGGCCTAAAACTTTTATAGGAAGACAAAACTCAATTCTACTATTTGGAAGTTTAAATCTTAGCAATAATAAAGAAGTCCGAATCTATCTTGCAGCCCAAATACTGTTTAATATTTAGTCCATATCTAGAGTTCTAGAAATTCAAATGACCATAATTTTTTATCCTGGAAAGCTGAGATAATTTTTTAAAACTTTCATGATTTAAGTTTGTTTGAATTTTGACATTAGCAATGATGTTTTTGGCAGATAAAAAGATAAGGATTATCACCAAGTCAAGATGTAGCCACCAATTCAACAATTAGTCATCAAATCAATAGTTCTCAATTTTGGCCTATAAAAGAAATATTTTCCATGCATTTAGACATTTTGGTTTTCAAATCAAGATCATGTTCTTTATTTATTTCTTTATATTTTTGTAATTTTTAACTTTTGTTTTGATTAATCTCTTGTTTATATTTTTCATTTCCTTTTCTTTACTTAGTTAACTTATATCTTATTTATGTTCTTATCTTGTTTATTTATATTTCTCTTCTTTCATTATATTTAGTTAAATTTATTATGTTAAAATGAAAAGATTACACTAATAGTATAAGAATAAATATAGTGTAAACTCAACATGAACTTTAATGTTTGATACTAACATGTTTTGTAATTGTTATCTTGTTCACTCTTAATACTTTGCTTATTAAATGGTTAATCTAGATTTATGTTGTATAACATTTGGTATAACAAATACTTGGCACTTTTATGGCCTAACCATATGGTATAATTGACATTTGTGCTATGAAAGAAACTTGATTTGCTGTTAACATAAATTATAATAATGAATACCTGACAACATTTACAAGTATTAGCATTATTCGAATAAGATAATTAATATAATCATGTTAACCATTTATAATCCGATTAGAACCTCCTTTGTGTGTAGTTTCCAATTGAGTAATAAAAAGAATTTATACTATTTTATTTGAAATATCATTAGTGGATCCTTTAACCTTGATATTTGTTTTTATTGTTTAATTTTAACATTAATCTTACATCTCAAAGTCATCTTTAACTTATTATTATTATTATTATTATTATTATACAGTTAACCTCCTTATGGTTTGACCCTAGTTTTATCAAATTATTTATTACTTTGACACTCCTACACTTGAAAGAAGATATCAATCTTTTGATCATGTCTGTATATAAACCTGAAAAGGATTTTCCATGTTTTAATAGTGAAGATATGCACAAATAGCTCTATAAAAGTAATCAATACTTTGATATGGAAGAGATAAATGATTCCAAAAAACTTAAAATAACTTCTTACTATTTAGATGGTAAGGCACTCTATTGGCATCAAAATTTCATAAGAAGTTTATAAGGTTAATAGGTTTTATAGTGAGAGTATATGGAAGCTTTTATATTGTAGGTTTAGGGGATAATAGGATCCTTTAGAAGAATTAAAGGACTTTAAGCAAAATAGAGGTATGAAGGCTTATATTCAGGATTTTCATATCTTGTGGAACAAGGCTGGGATTACCAAAAGACAAGCTCTAGTGTTTTTTATGGGTGGTTTAGAGGTAAAGATTAAAAACTTGGTTAAAATATTTGAACCAAGGTATTGAAACAAGTTTATAACATAACTTATCTATCAGAGAACATATTATTCAATTACAGAAACCTTTATAATAGCTTAAACAATCCACTAATACTATGACTCAAGTAAGTCAAACCAGATCTCACCAATATCCCAACACAAATAAAAACTCTTTTTCCCTACTCATCAATACCCCAAACTCATATCAACTTCGTCTATTAGCTACATCTACCTAAAATTTTACTTATAAACCTAATTTCAAACAAACTAAAACACTAAGAAATAAAAATTTAGATGAAAGAAGAGCCAAGAGATTATGTTTTTGGTACAATAAGAAATTTATGCTAGGTCATAGATGTAAAAACAAGAGACTTTATTTTCTATACATTGTAGAGGATGGAAAGGAAGCAATGAGAGAAGATAATGAATTTAGTTTTAAAGTTATTATCCCTTATAAGTTACCTTTTGATCTAGTAAATATTTATGGTTAATGGTGTTAATGGATTTCATACTCTTTGAGTAACTGGAAAGGTGGATAAGTGATTTTAGAACTTGCAATTGTCACTATAAATTCTTGGTTATACCCTTTTGTCTTAATTAATGCTCCTGTAACATTTTAAAACCTAATGAATGAGATATGTAGGGTATATCTCAGGAAATTTATATTGGTGTTCTTTGATGACACCCTTATAAATAACAAGACTATGACAAATCATTTACATCACCTAAAGATAACATTTAAACTACTTCAATCTCTTACTTATTTGCTAATAAAAGCCAGTATGTTTTCTATAGTAACTAAATTGAATACCTGGGGTATGTAATATCTAGGAAAAAAGGTGGTCACTAAACTTTAAAAGATCCAAGCTATTTTAGATTGACCTCTTTAAAAGAATATTAAATAGATATAATGGTTTCTTGGCTTTACTGGATACTCTAAAAAGTTTGTGAAGAACTATGATAGTAAATGCAAACCTTTAACTCAGTTACTTAAAAAGGATGCCTATAAATGTTTTGTTACAATGACTAAGGCTTTTAATATTTTAAATAGAGTCATGAACAACCCTCTTATGTTAGATTTACTTAACCTAAATAAGGTTTTTGCAGTTGAGATGAATGCATTAGGAGTAGGTATGAGGGTAGCTCTGATACAAGAAAGACATCTCAATACCTATATCAGCAAATCTTTTATGTTCAAACAATGTTCAAACAACAAGCTTTATCAACTTATCAGAGGGAGGTGTTTGTTAATTTATATGTTACCAAAAATATTATTTATAAGAAAGACATTTTAAGATCTGCGCTAACCATATCAACCTTAAATATCTATTGGATTAAAAGGTAACTTATCCCTCTCAACATTTGTGAATAATTTAGTTATTGAGATTTAATTAAGAGATTGAGTATAGGAGGGGTAAGAAAAATATAATTGGTAATGCCCTTTTCCAGGGTTTTTAATATAGAAATATACATCATGGAAGTCTCTACTATAACTACCAATATTA